AAAAAAAAAAAAAAAAAAAAATCAGTTAAATTGCTTTTAAAAGTTAAAGGTTTTTATGTATGATTAATATCTTTTATAAGGACATAAATAAATGAGTCTGATGATGGCAAAAAAAAAGGATGAAAGGAGGGGGAGATTGAGATGTGTTATGTACATGAACCATTTCCCTGCAATGAATGTAATCATTATGCACTACAAACATGTATTAATAAAACAAAAAACATTGCTACTATAAAAAAAGTTTAAAAGTTTTAAAGGAAAATTTATTTTTTGTTACAGCAGTAATACATGTTTATGTAGAGTTTTTTTGTTTTGTGGTGTTGGGGATTGAACCATTGCTTGCATATGTTAATCAGTGCTCCACCGCTTGGCTAGCTACACACCCAGCCCCACGGAGAAAAGATTTAAGAACTTTGAACAGACAAGACAGTAAATAAAAACCATCTATAATCTTTTCACTTAAAGGCAGCTTTCCTTTTGAGTTTTTTTTCCTTCTGTGTGTGCTTGGGTATATTTGTGTACTCCTCTATCATACACAGGTTTTGGGATCATACTTAAATTTGTATGTTTTGTTTCTTGCTTTTGTCACATTATATCATGGAAAACTAGAGGGCTTTGCACACACATGTACAGAGAATCTTTGTGTAGTCAGATGCACATAAGCCTGGTGCCGATAGATATGTACATCGTTACATGTTTCAGGAGCTGCCATCATCAGAGGTGAGGTTCAAGGTAGTTGATGAGTGATACATTGACAAGATTCCTTTTGCCATGAGCTGTGTTTTATTTAGTCCAGATAAGGAGAAAAACTATTTAATAGCCACTAGGTAAAACCTTAGGATGCATTCTCAAAGTTCGATTCAAATTTTTTTATTTTTTGCAGTTTGCAGATCATATCTCAGCTATTCCCATTTCCTTAAGCTTCTTTTATCCCAAACTGAAGCTATCTATCTTCCTGCCCAGTTTTAAAATACAGGGTTTTACCTTTTAGAGTGATATGAGAAGGTTTGCTGTCTGTGAAATTAGTACAGTAAGCTCTCTGTGCTGTTCAGTGCAGTAGCCGCTAGCCACACATTACTGTTTTTATTAATTTAAATGAAATACAATAAAAAGTTCAGTTTCTCAGTTGTAGTAGCTACATTTCAAATGATTAGCTTGTCTTAGACTTGTTATGAGGTGAAATGGGATAAGGTATGTGAAAATGCTGTGTAGTCATATGGTACTAGTGACTAGTAGTATGCACTTGAGATTGCTGCTGAGGACTCAGCAGGTAGTATAGGTTATAGCAATCATGAGAAGCTCTCACTATCAGTTTTTCAGGATGATTAATATTAAATTATTACTGCAATTTAATATTAAATTTTTGCTATATATTATTACTCTATATAACTATATATTACTATATATTTGATATATAACTATATATTTACTTTAGATACAAAATATTACTATGTATACAAATTATTACTATAATTTGAGAACTAACAAACTTCTGGTTTCATGCCATTAGATTTATATAGGTAAGTTCTGAAAATTCTTCAGTTCACTAAAAGCTTTTGTTGGGTGACACCCAAAGGCAGTGGACATTCTTTTACAGCTAGCTGTTAAAGATTTTTTATGCAGGGACTTGGGGAGTCAACAGGACACAGAGTCTGCCCTGGCACCAGATTAGAGGTCAACCCCAGGCAGTAATATTTATACAAATGGATTCATATTAAGACTGGAACTGATAGCAGGAACTTTCATGAGCCTAGAAATTGCTGTGTCTTTGGTCCCTGCATTTTCAGGACAAGAGAATCAGCACAGGTAATATGAGAGGCTCATGGTTAGAGAAGTCAGTGGCGAGACTGAAGAGGTGATTTCTGTAAAGTGGCCTGTCTTTCATTGCATCTTATTTGTACAGTGCCTGTTTCCAAAAATATTTAAGATGACAACTCCTTTAAAAGCACAGATTTAATAATACCTAAAATACAAAAATTGAGAATAGAGAAATGAGACTCTGAATTACCTACCAACAAGAGTATTGCAGTTTATCTGTATGAGATTGCATACTTGTTATATGCCATATATTATTCAGATGTTGGGAATATAGTAGTGAATAAGATGAAGGCCTAACCTCCAGTGTGATTATATTTTAGAAGAGAAGGAAAAAAGCCACCCCAAATCTTACAAAATGTCCCAGAGTTTGCTGATTAGCACTCTGTGGAAAGCAAACATTAAAAAACAAAAAACAAAAAACAAAAAATTTATTAAGTACTTGTGTGGTAGACATTTTAAAAGTATATTAACTGATTATTGACAGTGTTTGGATAGTAAGTGCTACTTGCCCTTTTACATTTGAGTAATATACCTAAAGTCACATAGTTACTAAATGATATTCAGCAGTTCAAAGCTCTTAACTATTATACTATGCTGTCTTAAAGATAAAGAAATAAACATAGTTGAAAACCTTTACTGAGGAGTATGATAGAGGATGTGAATAAATATCATGGTAATTCTGTGATTATGAATAAGAATCAATTTACAATTTTGTCTTCTTACAAATGTCCTTAACAGGATTTTTAAAATTGAGAAGTTGATGGTAAAGTTATTCTGGTTTTACTATATGTGCAAGAATAGTCAAGAGAAGTTTGAAATAGGCTAATAATTAGCCAGGTGTGGTGGTATACACCTGTAATTTCAGGAGTCTGAGAGGCTGAGGTAGGAGGATGTTAAGTTTGAGTCCAGCCTAGAAAACTAGTGATAACCTTGTCTCAAAATATAAAAGGGCTGGTGATATAATTCCTCAACATGAAGGCCCTGGGTTTAATCTCAAGTACTGCCAGGGGAAAAAAAAAAGGCTAGTAAGGGGTCTTGTCATTTGAAATTTCAAACATATTAACTTGCTTCTTTTCATGCATTGAATCAGGACATGGTACTCAATATATACAGTTTTTGGGTTTTTTTTTTTTAGTGAAAATTTAAAAACATGAAAAAAGTAGCATACTTCTAGTGGCATAGACTATATTGAAATACTTAAAAGAATTCAGCCTGTAATTATGGCACATGAGGCCTACATGTTGGAAGTTTAGTGGTATTAGGACAGTTGGCTATCCTTTAGGAGGAGGAAAGTTTAGATCATACCCCATGTCTTTAGGGGTATTACAACTGCATTAAATTATCAAGCATTTTTGTGGGGAGGGTGTGGTGCTGGGGATTGAACCCAGGGGCCCTACACATGCTAGGCAAGTGTTTTACTACTGAACCATATCCCGCTCCCTAGATGTTAAAAAATTTTAGAAAATTATTAGGAGAAAATATTTGGAACATTTTTACAATGGTGAAATGGGGAAGCAAGGTGTTCATCCTAAAACATAAAGTTTGACAGAAATGTAACACTGCATATATACAGCATATATATGAAAGGGTGATATCCATAATCTGCTCTGCAGATTGGTAGACAGCCAAGTATAGAAAGGTGCAAAGAATAAACAGGTGATTTCCAGAAGAGGAGAGATTCAGATGCCTCCTTACTGTAGAAATAAAAATTAAGACAGCATGACTATCAATTGCCAAAAAGAGATGATATCTTATGTTACTGAGGACACCACTATGCAGATTGCTGATATTGGCACAACTTTTTATGTGGAGCATTTGGCCTATTAAGGTGGAAAAATGGGCATCCTTCTATTCTAGCAGTTCTATTTTTAGGAATCTCCTCTCTAGAAGTACTTAACTAGACATTTAGTGATAGGTCTTTGTGGCATTATTTGTAATAATGAAAAGTCAATATGGTTTAAGTTATCCATCAAATGAGAACCAAGACCTGTCATGTGAAGGTGCAGGATCCCAGTAATGAACGTAACTATATTGTATACCTAGATTGTACCAATAAACTCAATAAAAGGGAAAACAAAATTATCCACCAAATGGAGAATGGTTAAATCTGTTTATGACATCTCTATTCTATAATGTATTTATAGTTTGAAACAGTTTGTGGATTTCTTGAGTGTAGCCTGCTTTGTAACATCAAGAATAGAACCAAAGGTAAAGGGAACTGTCAATGTCATCACTGTCTTTTTCTTTTTCTTTAGCTATACCAAATGGTTTTGGAACCAGTCCACTAACTCCTTCGGCTAGGATATCAGCCCTAAACATTGTGGGGGATCTCTTACGGAAAGTAGGGGTAAGCATTCAATTATTTATCACTAGGCATTTTTACTGCCAGAGTAGTATTGAATTGTTTTTTAATTTGATTGAAGTGAAGGAAGAAAAAAAAATGGATACCCTCCTGTGGTAAAAGCTGGAATGAAGCTGAGAAGCAAAAGCATCTAGTGACTAACAGTGACTAGTCCAAGGAAGAACCTTCAGTGTTGGGCCTACTGTGCCTGTGCAGAGGGCCTGAGCTCTCAGGTTACCACTTGGCATTTTTCCTGTCTCCCCATTGCTGTATATGCAGCCCAGTGCTCACATCCTTGTCTGAAATACTTCCTAAGGCCTGCTGTATTATCTTTGATCATCCTCTAATCATAGTTTTTGCCCTGTCTTTATCCTTGTAGTTGTTCCCTTGTCTTTTATTTTGTGAGATATTAACACTTGGCTTGTGACATTACTTAGTACTATACTCTTTGTCTCACTCAGTCTTACTGTTCTTGGGTCCTCTATTTGCATGACAGACCAGTTTGGTTCTTGAAAAAAAATGTTTTTTTGAGGTATGTATAGTCTTACTATGTTGCTCCTGTGCTCAAGTGATCCTTTTGCCTAAATCCACCAGATTATCTGGGACTAGTGGATTACCACACTTCTTGCTTTCACTTCCTTCCTACTCCTCCATGAATCCACAGTTCACTTATGTGTTGCTGTTGACTTCATGGTCGTTTGGTCATAAAGGAAACTTGTGATTTGGAATAGTCAAACAGTTGGATTACTTGAAACAGTTATAGGACCATGTAGATTTACATTATTACTCTGTAGTTAGCAGTTTTTGGCATTTGCTTCATTTCCCATTTCCCTCATTTGGTTTTACTTTTCTTTTTCAGTGATCAACCCTTATAGCTTCCCACCATGCATGGTCCCTTCACTTTTGTGTGAAACACTGTGAAAAAAGTAGAAATTGCATTATTACATTTTATCAGTTTATTAAAGAAGTGGAAAACCATAGCACGATGTCTTATGTTGTGTTTTTTGGCTCATAAAATGGGTTATTTTCTATCAGATTCATTCTAAATCCTCATTGTATAGTTACTAGAAAAAGTAATGTGCATAAATCAGTATGCAGCACTAAAATATTTCCTTACTCCCAAGATAACTACTTAAAAAAAACACTGTTTATTGTAAGAATTATGGTGTTTATCTCTGTAACTTAAAATGGTGTACTTATTTTTCTTTATCTTTATTTAATCAACTTTAAGCAAAAAAAAAAATGTAATCCACCTCTTCCAAATTTTACTTTTAGTTTTTATTTTCTGTTGGTTAGTTTTAAAAAATTTAAATAACTTTTTTGTTGTGCTTGTTATTGTTGGTTGGTGCTGGGAATTGAACCCAGGGTCTCACATATGTTAGGCATACATTTTTCCCCCGAACTATATCCCCAACCCTAAATAACTATTCTTAAACTTCTGTACCTCAACCCCGTTTGCTCCTTTTCCATCCTGCTGCCCCACTTTCTCTTCTTGAGTTCTGTTGGTTGTGCCTTCCCAGTTGATTGGTTCTAAAAGTTGAAAAATTGGTCAAACAGCCTTTACAGTTTGTTGCCCATGTAGGTATCATTTACTGCGTAATCAGGGCAAGAGCTAGGCTCTTTATATTTGTGCCACTCAAGTATTTTTTAGCGTTTTGTTCGTTAATTATCTTTTACGCAAAATGATATATTTATAATTGTAACCCTTTTTCTTTTTCCTAGCATTTTGAATTATCTTTCCTTCTTATGGTAGAAGAAACATACATTTTGTGATGTCTCTTCCAGCTTTTCATTCGTACTCTTTGGGAACATCCTGATTGGCTTCTCGGGCTGTGTGGCACCACTGTCAGCCTTGAATTTCTTATATTCTTGGATTATTTTCCTATACCCTACCCTCATGTCTTGTCTTGTTTGTTCTGCTTCTATAAGTAATTTATTAGAAGCGGTGATGACAGTTTCATTTTTAGCCCTCACACAGTTCACCCATTCAGCTAAATCTCTCTTCTAAGAAGTCACCAAAACGTTCTGTGCTGCTATCCATCAACCTCTACATATTTTCATGCATATTTCAAAACTCTTTGTGAAACAACTCTGTCTACTGACTTGAACTGGAAGCTCCTTCCCTACTCTTGTGTCCTCTTCCCAAAGAAAACCAAATTTAAACTTAATTGAATTCTTTTTTCACCTTCTGGTGTTTCCCTCCTGTCATCTCTGTGGCCATTATTCGTTTTCGTCTCAATGGAAGAAGTATCAGATCCCTGCCCATGGCTAATTTTCTCTCTGTGTTTTGGATCCCAATCCTTCTCATCTTTATTTCTCTACATATGTGTTAATATTTATGTATTATGCACTATTATCCATATACTGTATACTCTGTATGTGATGTTTATGTGTTACATATTACCTTCCTTCTTCTGGGATCAAACCCAGGACTTCCTGAATGCTAAGCATGTGCTTTTCCACTGAACTATACTCCTAACCCTTACATAATTTTTTTATTCTTAAAAAGCAAAAATTAAAGCAGCTATTCTTTCTTTTTGTGCTACCTCTCTCCTTAGCCATTACCCTTCTGTCTTCCCTTCATGGCTAAGCTTTTTGAAAACATGTCTGTGCTATTGTTAGCATTCCACTAAAACTACACACCATGATCTCAGTGCTGTCAAATCCAGTGTGTGGGGTTCTAATTTTTTTGAGACATTCAGCACTGACCTCCTCTCCCGCTGAAATGTGTTCTGTTTTCTGCTTCCCCGACTTTGATTATACTGTGACTGCTCCCACCTGCCTACCCATTTCTGTTAGTCATCTTGTTGGGTCTTTTATCTGCCCACCTTTTCAATGTTGGTTTTGCTAAGAGTTCTGTACTTAACTTTCTGATATTATTCAGCAGTGGTTTCATCTAATTGTGGGTTTGGATAGCTTCCAAATCTTAACCTGTAGAACCCTTTTTATCTTGAAAGGATCAGGTGTTTGTACTAAATGTCTCACTGGTGCCTTAAACATAACTTGTGCCTGCCATATAATAGATGCTCAGCAGATATTTAAATAAAGTGCACAAGTATCTCCTTTGAATATAGAGAATTAATGGTTCTCAGTATCTACTATGTGTATATGTACAAGTCACTGAGGTCATTCAGCCCATCCTACAAGTTCATTAACCTTTTTTCCTTCTAGTTATTATTTTATTAGCATATTGTATTTTTATCACAGGAAAGAAGAAGAGAAAGAAAAAGCAGTCTTTTTTTTGCCATATCACTAAAATTATGGGGTTGGGATGTCCAAATGGATTTTCATAATGAAGTGTATGTTATCTATGGATTTAATTTTTCTGCATTTCTAATACTTTAGTGTAATGGATAACAGGAAAGGACTGTGTTTTTATCCTTTTTCCTTTTTAAAATTTTGCCAGAGATTAATTTTCCTTTTTAGGGGTAGTGTAAGTGTTAATGGAAAGGGGGGAGTTGGTGATATCTGCATGTATGAAAATAGTTGAGAAACTCCTGTTCTCTTCACATCATCTGTTGACAGCTTGGTGTGTGCCAGGTGATGTGACAGGTGTATACAGGGACTTGATTTAGAGGCAACTGTTAAAAGGCCAGCCAATATCAATTATAGGCGAATTTTTAATTACAGATAAAGGGTTTCAGGTAAACATTTTACAGTGTGCTTTCAGAAATAAAATCATTTCATGTGATATGGTGTAAGTTTTTGCATCTATTTTTGTACAGTGGAAAAAACTAGACTGAGAACCTATTAAAATAATTGGCTGCATTAAAAATATTTTCAAATATTTTTTGGATTCTTCATAATGCTTGCTCCCATCACACACACACACACACACACCCATCCACACACCACCCCCTCCAATCCCAACCCCAACCAGTAAACTGAAACTGAGAGGAGTAAGTAAAATACTCATTAGAAAAGTAGTGAGCACAAACATTTGCTTTTTCTGTTAGGACTTAGCTAACCATTATTATCAACTGGGAGAGTAAGGGTTGAGACTTGAAATAGAAATGTTTTGAAATGCAAAATTTTCTGTGCAGCTACTGTTATGACAACCACATCATTCCTTTTTCCCTTTTCTAGGCTTTAGAATCCAAGTTAGCAGCTTGCAGGAATTTTGCAAAGGACCAAGCAGCACGAAAATCTTATATTTCAGGGAATGTTAACTGTGGAGTGATGAATAGTAATGGCACAAAGTTCTCTCGATCAGGGCACACGTCTTTCTTCGACAAAGGGTAAGTTCTGGACTTTTAAAGTGATCAGTTTTGGAGCAGTAATGTTTCAGATTATTAACTCAGGTTACTGAAATCTTAAGATAAATTCAGTTTTATATACCTACCTGAAGCCTGTTCTCATTCAAATCTTGGGAGACAAAAGTCTGTTGTATTTTGATCCCCATGGAGTCTATTGCCCTGGGAACCTTTAGTTCTGGGAGCAGACTTAAAAGGCCGCAGTGCTGGGCTCAGGAAGTTCTGCCTGGCTGGGGTGTGGTACCCATTCTGCAGGTGCTTGCAGCTTAGTAGACTTGCCCAGCAAATTTTTTAAATGCAGAAGAGAGCATTGTAATTACATATATGCAAACTCTAGCAAACCTTTTATCTGAAGATTTAGAAATATACAAACCCTGAAGTATTTAGCATTCTCAGTGTAGGAGGTATAACTTCTTTATGAAGTGAATATTTTTGGGGATGATTGATATTTTTAAAAAATCATCCTAAGATTGTAGCGGTGATATATTCTTTTTTTGGGGGGGGTACTGGGGATCAAATGTGGGACCTTGTGCTTGTGCAGGTGGTGGAACCACTGAGCTAAATGCCCAGCCCAGCAGTGATATATTCTTAATGCACAAAATTCTAGTTGATATAGAAGTATGTGAAGTAAAAAGTAACTTTTGTCTGTTTTCATACTATTTTTTGCATTCCTTATTTTTAAGGATCTAAAATAATATTTTTATGTATCTGCTATAAACTTCTTGCAACACCCAGGATTATACTTTAAACATTGCTTTGCAACATGCTTGTCATGACTTATATTACCAGTATCTTCCCATATCAGGACATGTAATTATACCTGATACTTTAATATTTAAATAGTACTTGACAATCCTTTTGTTATGGATATGCCTTGATATAGGGAATTTGTGATGGCCTGTGGTTGGGGATGCTGACCATCTTATCTTAGGTAACTGTGCTGCAATAGCACCTAGGCACTCATGACCCTCTTCTGTCTCTGCTTTAAGTCATATGGGTAGTTCTTTTTTTTTCTGTTGAAGCAATGCAGGGACAACAAATTTTCATAATTTCTTAAAGGAGCTTACATTTTCTGCTGTTCTTAATAATTATAATGTGTTATAGCAGGCCAGATTTGATTCACAATCCACTCTTGAAAATAGTTTTATTGTCCATCCTCATAGTGAAGTGTTCTGGTTCATCTCCATTGCTTAAGAGAATTCCACCCCTGAACTATACACAGTTCATAAAGGACATTCTATTAAAAACATACTCTAAAATATCAGCATATGAAGCAGAACTCTATTCTAATTTTGAGAGTTCTCCAGGTGGCCCAAGTATGAAGCTAATTTTCCCTAGGCTTAGGAGTTTCAGGTAAACTTTAGGAGTGCTCTGTTTTTATACTGTTATAGTATACGAAATGGATAGATGATTCTACATTAAAGTAGCCCTTTCCTCCTAATTATATGAAGAAAGCTTCAAGAGTGTTGAAAACAGTATCTAATTTTTTCCTGCAACTTGTAATTACTTCCAGTAGAGTAGTTACTAGTCTCTCTCTGGAATCAGTACTTGATGGACTTTGGGTACGTAGTGTATGATGTGAGAACAGGCATGGGCCAGAACTGGGTTGGTTGGACAGGTGCCTTTATGCAGAAAGTGCTTCAGGGTGATCACAAGGGAGAGAACACACTGTCTATCCTGGCTTACTGCTGCTGCCTTCAATTTGTAGAGCACCAGGCGGCATTCCTAGAGATGCTTGGTCTTGGGGAGATGTGGAAGATTCAGTGCAGAGTGAAAACAGGAGTGGCCTTGGGCTCTGCCTGGACCCCTTCCCCTGAGGAAACAGCCTAGATGTAGTTGTAGGCCTTATTTCCTGGACTGAACCTGGAAGGGCACGTTTTGATCCAATAAGTTTCCGATTGGTTTTGGCCCAGTATTTTACAAATTTTATTTTGTACTGTGGGGATAATGAAATAGTGCTTTTGTGGACTGGCCCTTGTTTAATTATTAATTTATTTGACAAGTGGATTGTAGGTGCCCACTGCAATCTTAGTCTACTATTGCTTGAGCAATCTTTGTCTAGTTACCATATTCCTGAGGCTAGCTCTGAGGGTTTGCTGCTTTGCTCTGATTCTGGCTTTCTCTGGCCTGTTTGGCTTTTCACCTCTCATCTTTCTTCTTCTGACCTATCCAGTAGATAAAAATCAAGGTGGTGTGTACCAGTTGCAAAAGGAAAGGGGGAAAGCCTGACTCCCAGGTCTACCATTAAATCTGGCAGATTGCAGAAAAGAAACCAGTCTTAGCTGAGCGTGGTGAACCATGACTGTAATTCCAGCACTTGGGAGGCTGGGGTGGGAAGATCTCCATGAGTTCAAGGCTGGGCTGGACTACATAGTGAATTCAAGGCCAGCCTGAACCTACACAGTGAGACCTTGTCTCAAACAACAACAAATCAAAAAACAAATGAAAAGAAACCAGTCTTTAAAGAAGTATGGCTTGCCATTTTAGCATGTGAAAACTCCATTTTAAAATGCCCTTGGCTCTAGAACTTGCCTGCCCTGCCTCTTTTGAGTCTGTACAGTAGCAACTGGAGACCCCACAGGTGGGTTGTTTGGAGGAGAAATTATCAGTAGTTCCTGTGCCTGTGGGGGCACACGTTCACCTTACTTTCTGTCCTTTCACAACCTTAAGATGTAGTGAAGCTTTACCACATGAAGCCATACCTAAATGGAGAACTTTGCTTTATAGGAAGTATTTTGAGAGCTTCTTGGAACCAAGATTTTTATCTAGTCTGAGATCGCTCTGCCAGTCCCTCAAACACAGGCTGCTGTGCCTACTTGGCATTGGTTCCTCCTACCTCTGAGCACCCCTTATGTCCTCATCTAAAAGGGTACAGATTTCATGAGTGGTAGAATCATTTGAATTTATTCTAAAATAAATGTGTGTATTTTTTTCTCCTTAGCCTTAGTTTCTTATATTTTACTAGTCCTGTTTTTGCAAGCCAGTCTTACTTCTTTTGAGCTGTGTGTAGGTGGGCACAGGCTAATTTTAGGCACGATAATGAAAATAGTATTTGTATTACTGTTTAATGCTCTTTCCTTTTTTTTTTATTAGGCAAGAAAAAGTCATATTTCCCACGTTGTTCATGGGTAACTGAATTTGTTTGCTGTGCTCTCTTTCCTTCTTTCTTAATCATGGCGTGTGGTGGAAGAAACATTAACAAACTGATTTTACTAACTGCATGGGGCTGATTCAGCTTTAACCAACTTACAGCCCATGAGTGAGCCTTGACTATATACTATTATTATTAGTTTAGCAGTATAGAACAAAAGCACTTCAGTGGCTATGCGTGGGGATATGTGCCTGAAGTCCCAGCTACTTGGGAGGTTGAGATGAGAGGTTCATTTGAGCCCAGGAGTTTGAGGTCAACATAGGCAATATACCGAGAACCCATCTCAACAAAACAAACCATCAATGCAGTAATCTTGGGCAGCTGTGATAGGATGCCTGGTGGCACTGACCATGTGGGGCAGGGCACTGTGTTGATGATGTCAGAGTCCAGGGTAGGGTTGTGTGTCTTTGTCAGGTCCTAGGATCACATTCGTTTGTCTTCATGGGGATGAAGTTCCTTCTGTCCTCCAATTACTTGTTTTCTCAGACTGGGGCCTCCTTTGCTTCTGCAATTGCTCTTGTATTCCCAGAATTAAAATGGACTGGTAGATAGGCCATATGTATTTCAGAGCTGCTTTTCTGTTTACTCAGCCTAGGCTGAAGATTGAGCTGGCTGGAGCTGCTGGGTTTCTTTTTACCCCCTGAAATAGGGAAACTGAGCTCTGAGTGTTTCCTGCTGTTCTAAATTAGCTTAGATTGTCCTTATTTTCTCTGTACTGCTTTCTCAGGTGTACCATCCTTGTTCTTTCCCTCCTTTATTTCTGCTGTGTTAGATTTACTGTCCTTTCCTGGCTGGCAATTAAACACATTGACTCTTTTCCCTTTCCTTCTGTTTCCTTCTGTTGCCATTTTACAGATGACCTTAGCACCTTTTCTTAGCTGGAGTCTGTTTATCACTCTTTAACTAGACTTTGAAGTAAAATTGTGAATTGTAGAGGTCTGGTAATTTTCCCACCTATGATTCCCAAGCCTGTCTCACCATTCTTGCCTGTTCCCTACATTCAGTCTGATATGGTCCATGAAAACATTTCCCCGCAGCTCTTTCACTGATTCTGGTGTGTATGGAAATATTTCTTCTCCTGGGAACCTTTCTTCATTGCACATGTTTGCAGTTATTTGAGAGGGTGTCACAAGACTGAAAATGCTGGGGTCAGCTGCCTTTTCCCTCTGATTTTAACTTTCTACATCCTCAGATAAATTACTTACCTAGTTTCAGTTCTCCCTTTATGTTCTGTGTTGTTTTTCTCATTAGAGCTGATAATGTACTGGGAGCACCAAAGTGGTTATTTGTTGAAGGCTCCTCTGACTAGAGGAGACTGGGAAGAGATAGTTTCCTGGACATTTGGAGGCAGGTCCCCCCTACTTCTCCACTGACAGTTCACAAGGTGAGCTGGAGTTAATGGCTGGAGCTCTCTTACTTTGGTTTCCTTAGCTATGTCACATGGGGATGAACTTGATATTTCTTAAAAGCCAATCTGTCTGGAAAATACTGGTATCCTGCTCCTAAACCTGTATTTGGAGCCATCCTTATGGTTGCTTCCTTTGCATGCTCTGGCGGACCAGGTGTCAGAATCTTCTTGGCAACGCAGAGCACTCCTGCACTCTGCTGGGTTTCACGGGCTCTGTAGGACAGCTTTCCCTAATGCAGTGATCTGTGAGGCTGGGAAATAGATTCACATATTGAAAGCTGAGGCCATTTTTCTACTTCTTCCTGAGGATCCTGGGAGAAGCAGGTATTGAGGACTCTGGGACTAGCCAAACAGATGACATATGGGGCTTATGAGGTGAGCAACACAGTGGCACACAGGATGTGGCCTTCTGCCTCAGAAGAGGCACGGGCATGTAGCCTTGGGAGAGCGGGCAGGGGGCACTTATAGTGTTCAAAGGCTCGAAAGTCAGACCTCCCTCAGCCTAAAAAGGGAAAATCCAGGCTGTCTATACCTGAAGTAGAACTGTGTACATCAAGGAGAAAGTACATTTTCAGAGTTTTGCTCTTGGTTTCTGTGTGTGTGGCTTGATTTCAGATTCTGAATATGGTGTGTTTATTTCCTTAAGACAGGAACTCAAATTCTTTAGAATAGCCAGGGGTTTTCTGTTAAGTCTGCATGCCTGTTTCTCTTACCTCTTCAGCCTGACACTGTAGTTGGTGCAGGGATATGTGCCTCCACTTTTTTTTTTTTTAGAGAACCTCTTTCCATGAATCTTTTACCTTCAGCTCCCTGGTCTCCTTGTTCAAGCAGGGTGCTGGGGCATGGTGAGCAAGTGTAGCGCAAGGTGTCCCTTTGTGGTTGGTTCTCTCCCCCCAAGTGGCTACTAGGCCAAATTCTCCTAGGAAGTTTTTCAGGACAGCAAGGCTGAGCCTCAGAGAGGACCAGGCCCCTTCTTCCTTCTTCCCTCCTCGGCTTGCTGCTTCCTGTGGCTGTGCTGCCAGTGGGTGGGGAGCTCCACCTGATGCACTTTGGTTCTAATGCTTGTGCAGTGCTGGGCCCTCTGCATAGTAGCCACAGAGGAAAGTCTATTTGGTGTTGCTTGCTAAGCAATTTGTAACCAGTTATTTTTCTCTTCCTTATTAAGATATTTATGTACATTGTAAGATATTTGGAAATAATAAGTGTGAAGTAGTAGAAAATTAACCTAGAGGGAAGAAAAGTAACTATTGTTAAGTTTTATATACGTGTGTATATACATAATGTATATATAGAATTCACACATTATATTCATATGTGTGTTTGTCTAAAAACCCTCACATTCTAGATTTAGCTACTTAGTAATGTCTATGTAAAGATAGATAGAATCTAGTATATTATAGATAGTTTACTTTTTCCTTTCTTTATACCATTGAACATATGCAGTTTAGTAGCCTGCTTCTTTTTATGTGCTGCTTAGCATTCATTAAGTACATTTGGAATATTTACCTAATACTGTTAAAAACTATATGGAAGGTAGTTTTAATAGTTATATAATGTTTTATTGTACAATTATTTATTTACCTGGTTCCCTATTATCAGGCATTTAGACCTACTCTATAGGAAAAAAAAAAAATCAGGACCACAATGGTCAGTTTGATGAAGTTGCCAAGAAAGGTCACATGGTCTCCATACTTAAGGATTGTAAATTCTCCATTCTCTCACCAATTGACATTTTGTGGGCAGCCTTTTACCAGTAGGCTATCAGGAGAAAGCAAATGGATTTTTTATTGTGTGTAGTGATTTTAAATGATAATCTTTTCTCCTCCCCTCCCTTCTTCTCTGCTCTGGTCACCCCCACAGGGCAGTAAACGGCTTTGACCCAGCTCCGCCTCCTCCTGGTCTGGGCTCCTCGCGTCCATCTTCGGCACCGGGTATGCTGCCTCTCAGCGTGTGAGTGCCCGGCCTCCAGGTGAAGGCTCCTGCCCTCCTCCAACAACCCAGGATACCCACGCCTCACCCTTCGGTGCCTGGGCCCAGCCCTGTGTCCCTCTTCCTGCCTCCTCATGGCTGGCAGAGGGCAGGCTGCATGCAGTGGCAGCTGCCGGACCTTGCCCAACACCAGGACTCTGCGCGATCTCAATATTGGCTATTTTCTCTTCTCGCCGTAGTGCCGTTGATTTCACATGATTGCACTTTTGTGGGTCACAAGGTGATACATACATGTATTACTTGGTCACTGGATACAGAAGTACCCATTCATTACACCTGCCTCATAGACCCCACTCTGCTGTGCTGATAGGATTTAGTTGTGTTTAGGACATTGCAGATCTCTAGCAGTTCTCCCCCAAATCGGGTTAACATGTGCCCTCTTCCTGAGCTCCCTCCTAAGCATCTTTAGTGCTCATAATCATGTGCCCCAGTTCCACCCTTACAGTTTGGGCCTGTTTCTGTTAAAGAGTCAGGAAGGTCACTGAATTAGGGAACATCGTCTGCACCTTCTGATTTTACATAAGCAGTCACCATTTCATATGCTTGCCTCCCAAAGCAGCGAAATGCCTGTCTGAGCCACAGGTGGCAGGAACCTCCGGGGCCTGGGCACTCCTAAGGCTGAGCCTCTGTGTTGCCTCCTCTTCCACGTGCCTCAGACTCGGAGGTAGGTGGCAACCTCCTCACCAGCTTTCTGGTCCTTCAGTTGAGTGATATTTTCAGATTTTTGTTTTCATGTTTGAGGGTCCATCCAGTTGCATAGGGAAGAATTGGGTGGCCTAATTCTGGGGGCTGGTGCTGCCAGCTCCCAGGGGCAGACTGACCAAAAGTGATTGTCCCTGTGTATCCTTTGATTACTCTCATGCTGCATTTACTGTTTACATTTGTTTTATTGTACATAGGTTTGTAAACATTATTGCCTAAGATATTTGTATATAACTTGGGCTTTGTAGCTTTTATTTATTCAGAACTCATATGGCATGTTAATGACTATGATGGTGTCCTACTCTGGGCAGCTGTATAGGATCATCGTGGTTAAAAAAATACTTCCCCTTCTTCCCCCAAAATCTTTTATTGTGGAAACAATAAATTTCACACAAAAAAAAGAAGAAAAAGAATTGAAGTTGCTTTACTGAGTTCCTGACATCCAGTGAGAGAGGAGCTGGAGCAATACAAAGCCAGATTCCAGTGACTTATTTTGACACAGGGCATTCAGATGGACAGCAACTGTGGAATGGGACAGAGAAGGTTCAAGGGGCCTGAGGAAATGTCTAATACATTGAGCAGGCTTGTTCATGTCAATTCTTGGTGCTGGTTTCCAGTTCTGTGTGACTTCTAGGGCTCAGCCCGGGAATGGCCCAGGCTCCATGTGAAACTTTGGGTTAAGGAGCAAGACTTTGGGAGAAGGAAATTGGCAGGTTGTGGAATAAGTGGGATAGATGTGGATGCTGGTCCTTCAGTTGTGCTGCGCTGACAGCATTGTGTGACAAAATACTGTAGTTTTGAGGTTAGAGGTCACTTGGGTCTGGGTTTCTCTTATTTCTACAGGTTAATGCTAGCAAGTGAGAGAAGGTGCCAGATGTTTGATGGCCAGGCACAAGGAAGCACTGAGGAATGTAATGTGTAACTGGGGGTCTGTGATTGCGTCAGATTCTGAACACTGATTGTTTTTAGCAGTATAAACAAATAGCATACTTTTATATAGTTTTAAAACTACAGAGGGATGGAAATTGAGTCAAATTTTTAAATGAACAAGAAACAGGATACATTTTTTAGCATTTCTGTCTATTAATATATGGATAGGACTATCTGGTATTCATTATTCCTAGAGATTTTTGTCCTAAGCAACCTCGTGGAGAGGCATCGTAGTGGTGTGTGTCCTGTGCCCAGCCGTGCTGGCAGAGTGGTGGAAAAGAAAACTCTGAAGGTTTTTATTGATGTGCAGCAGCTCCCAGCTTCTTCCCCAGCTGTCATTGGAAGGATTGGATTAGATCAGACGTTTATTCAGGAACCCTGAATCTAAAACATAACAAGCAGAGCTACTCTGGTTAGGGAAAGGATGAGGCTTGTTTCCACAGTGATTTCTCAGGTCCTTTGCAGCTGCACACCCCTGGGCTCATCTCATTCATACACTGTTCTATCATCTGCTAGTCAGTAAGTTGGTGGATGGGAGAGGGACCCCAGGTGCAGGGACCCACATGTCATTCATAGTCTGTTATTACAGCTGTGGATCCCAGAGAGCAGAGGCCAGGTCCCCAAAAGAGCAATAGTCTAGACCCTTATGACGAAACTTGCACTTAGTTTTATTTATTTTCTTTGAAGCCACAAAGTCTTTGGCATATGACCCTTTGAGGAAACTGGTTGACTTCCTAGGCCTTGTCTTCAGCTTTCTTTTGGTTCAAAAGACTACTTTGTACTTATGCACCTTGAGCATTTGCCACCTGGCATGAACCTTACTACTTACTGTTTGCCTCTCTAGCTAGAAGTTGGCTTTGTGTGGGATATCTTCATAGGGGTGTCTGTTGCCTGATTGTCACTGAGACCTCAGGAATGAGCCCTGAGCTGCAGTCCACATGTTGATCTTCCTGCCTGTAAGTGGCCAGATTTCCAGGTGGCAAAGCCTATCCTTTTGCCTCCAGATGTTTTCATTTCACTCATTTGGTCCCATGTCTTGCCTCCAAAATGTCTTCTTAGATAAGAGTAAGAGTCAGTATTCCACTTCTTTTTAGCCCAGGATGGCCAGAAAACTACACTCACTGTCTCAGTTGCTAGGAGCCTAAGCTGGGCCCTTGAGTTGCAGTGAGGTAGGCAAGTGAGAACTGTGTAGGAATGGTCTGAACACAGGAGAACTGCTTTTCCCTCAGTTGGCAGAAGGGACTGTGTGCCCGTGGTTGGACATGGCTGAGCTCATGTTGCTGGCTCAGAGCAAAGCCGGTACTGGAAACAGGCCCAGTGCCTATCTGCTATGCCTTTCCAACCCTGAAGTAACACTGCCATACTCCCACAGTCTGTCTAGTCTCTTAGGAAATGAGTGGATTTTGAGGGGTTAGAAATGATGAGCTGTGGGGCCAGCACAGCTTTACAGCAGGAGGAATCCAGTAGCACCAGCCCTCTTCTCCACATCTTGTTCTTGATGGGCCATGTCCACTGTACTCTTACAAACCATCCTAGAAGTAATGTTAGCACCTCCTGAGAGTTGAGGTGGGAACTCGCACTGCTTGGAAATTTGCAGGGGGGGTGGTGAGACCTACAGTGCAGCCACAGCTTGAGAGAGCACTCTGTAGCCAACTTACAATCTTTCTCTACCAAAACTGTGAGCAACCAGCCTGGCTGAGGGAGGAAACGAGCAGACAGTTGATTTTACTGCTTGCCTAGAAGTTGCTAAGATCAGCCTTTTTACATTCTAGGCTTTATACTGGGTGGGTTGTTTTTTCTCTAGTTTCCCCCAAAGGTTAAAACAAATCTAAAATATAAGGTTGGCCTTTAATATAAATAAGATGTTACTTCTTTCCCTTTTTTGTTTTTTTTTGGTACCGGGGATCAAACTCAGGTCCTTGTGCTTGCGAGGCAGGCGCCAGAACCACTGAGCTAAATCCCCAGCCCTGTTACTTTCCTGAAAAGGAGTGCAGGGAGAGGAGAGGTCATCTTTGTAAATAATTTTCCTATGACTTACCTGCAAAGTGGTCCCATGAGTATGAAAAATGAAACATAGGGGAATATAGTAGCTCTTTGAATTTTAGAGAAAAACAATAATGGAGCAAATGTGAATGAACATACTTCCATTATAAGATAGTATATTTGAAGAGGCAGATCTGAAAAAACAGAACAAATCTAATGGTATGGGGGATGAACTGGGGTCTGTGCTGTGATTTTGTGATTTGGGGTCCAGCTATGTATCTGTACCCACAGTTGTTAGTGTTTGCTATCAGCTCTGTAGGAAGCCTTTCCCAAAGGAAAGGTGAAGCATACCAAGCAGAAGTTTGTCACTTGTGAGGTGTTTTTTTAATGAGATGTCATGTGCCACCTGCACTAACATGCAGCTCATAGATTCTGTGTGGACTGTGACTGCAGTGAAGGCCTGGAAGGAGGGTGATGGGTTACCTTGTGCAGGGCTGGTGGCCAGGATTTAGGTTTTCTGGAACATGCTTGAGTAAAGTATTGAATGAGTAATGGCCTTGGTGATCCGGGCCCTGCTGCTCTCTGTAGTAGAGGATGGAGCTAAGATACTCTTGTTTTGGTTCAAACAAGGTGATTGTTTTAACTGGAAAGAAAATCAACATTACCCCCACTGGCACTTAGAATCCCACACTTCTATGACATTGGTTTTACTGTTACTCTCTTCTTGAATCAACCTGACAATGTGATAAGCTGTGAAATCTACTTCTTGGGTGATACCCCATGGTAGTAAGAACAAATAAAAATTTTATAGCACTGATAACATTGGCTGATGCTAGGGAAAGGTGAGAATGATTTAGAAATGTGGAATACCACAGGGACTCATGAGCATGCAGCCATGGTAATACACAAGACTGGGAATGTCCAGTGGGAAGAGGACACAAACCAAGAAGTCTTAAAATCAGAAATGAAAGGGAAAGGATGCAGATGGCTTACTATCTGTGGTTGAAGTTGTTTAATTGTTTTTAAAAATTGGCTGAAGTAATGGGCCAGGGATTTAGCTCAGTGGTGCTGCCCCTACCTTGAAAGCACAAGGACCAGAGTTGAATCCCTGGTACCAAAAAAAAAAAAAAAAAAAAAAAAATTGGCTGAAGTAGTAACAACATTTTCCTTCATGGACAAGTTGGCCTGAAATTGTGCTGAGAAGTTCCAAGATCTGTGAGCAGGAGCACAAGGTAGTGGCTCTCTGACCTGCCCAGTGACTAGCTCAGTCACTGCTGGGGAAACAGAAATCCTCAGGTTTCCTCAGCCCCAGGCTCCTGAGCACAGATGTTTCCTAGAATCCCAGATACCAGCAGTTAAAAGACATTTATTATTTTTTATACTGGAGATCAAACTCGGGGCCCTGCGCTTGTGAGGCAGGTGGCAGAACCAGAGCTAAATCCCTGGCCTTAGGCACATGTTTATTTTGTCAGCAATTAAGAAAAATGTGCTAATTAAAACTATGAAAATTCTTATCTTTAGACTTTTTATATTTAAAGAGCTTTTAGACTTCTTTAGGCAGATTTTCACCCTGTCACACTCATTGATATATTAAAAAGGAGCAAGAGATTCCTGAAACTTCATATTTTGAGTCCAGTGTTTTGAACCACCTTATGACGCAGAGCTGACATCAACCATGTTCCTAAGCAGTGCTGTTGTCTGTGCCATGTTGTGTTGGTGACACTGTGCCATTCCCGAAAAGCATATTCTACTATTGGCTCCAGAATTTTTTCTAAGCTACTGACCCCCACTCTGCGAGTTTTGATCCTGTGCTTGATTAATTTCACCAGGAGCAGGGCAATGACCCCATCTCAGCTGCCACCTACTGACACTGATTGTGATACATGAGACTTGGGGCATTTTATAATCTGTGTAATATTGTGCTTTGGAGCAGGCAGAGCGCCCTTGTAGATGTCTCAGTCAGATGCAGAGTTGATGTCTGCTTGTGTCTTATACTACATCTTAAGGCTTCATACATCCAGCAGAGCCCATTATCAAGCTACTTAAACAAACAAAAACACATCATTGCTATAATCAAACATTAATGTCTTGTCTCAGTAACAGCTAAAGGACATGTTCATACTTTTTGGCACACATGGGCATTTGATTATATTGTCTCTGAAAACAGGCATCAATGATGTGCTCTTTTTGATTGTTTCATGTACATTTCAGACAGGAATAAGATATTTCATGTGATGTGCTGGATTCCCAAATGACAGGTGGCTACCAAAGGAGTGGACTGTGAGGTGTGGTCCTCACAGCTGGCACAGGATAGCATTTTATTAAACATTCAAGGTTTGGGAAAGCTCTTGGTGCATTTTGTCCCAGAAAGGTGGCAAGGGAAGAGGACTTCTGTGTTCATCCCAGTGATGAGGCAGCCTATGAACCAGTCTCCCTTTAGGTCTCAGCCAGACTAGGGAAAGAGGAGCCATCCATCATCTCCCTTTCCAAACTCCCACCTATTCTGGTCCATGTCTTTTGGAAGGTAAGGGCACAGCAGAAGGGATGGTTCCTAGACCTCTTTTCTTTTCTAGTCTTGACAAGGACAGGCTTTGGCAATAGTGGCTTCAAGGGGCAGAGATAAGGGTTAGGGTCAGCCACACCCAGAGCCATACAGCATGCTGGCCAGTAGAGCACCTTAGCTTTATGTCCCATAATTTATCTTAGCTGAGGTTTCTAGGTATTGAGGAAATTGGTGACAGAAGAATCTTTCAAATACCAATTTGGGAAGTGAACCCTCAAGCTAATAGGTTAAAAATAGTTATTAGCCCTATCAAAGCAGTTTTTTAAAAAAATGCTTAGGATGTGGCAAGGGTAGAGCAGGTAGTTCACAAAACATCCTTGAGGTGGTAAAACCCCAACACCTTATCTTAATCTTTTGCCTGGGGGTTCCATACTTGTGAATGGAAGTTGGCCAGCTTCTTTGGCTTTTTGGCACAAAGCCAGTCTGCCATAAAACTGTCTTCCTTTGAGCTCTAAATGCCCCATGTTTTTTTTTTTTTTTTTTTTTTTAATTTTTTTGAGACAGAGTCTCACTGTGTAGCTGAGACGGATGTAGAACTCACTATGTAGTCCAGGCTGGTCTGGAACTCACAGCGAGCCTCCTGCCTCCGCCTCCCAAGTGCTGGGATTACAGGTGTGCGCCACCATGCCTGGTGCCCCATGGGGTTTATAAACTACCTTTTCTAATGTCTGAGGTGGTGATTTGTTTAGTGAAGAAAGGTTCCTTTATGTTACTGTCTTTGTGTAGTCAAGAACTGGAATCAGTAAGCTGAATATTTGGGGGTTATGAGATGTGGATACCGGTCAAATTAGCTGGAAGGAAAGAATTCTTTTTTATACTGGCCTTTAAGTCCATAAACTCCTGGAATGCAGGGGTGAGAATGTAGCTGAAACACCAGAACTTCCAGTTCATCTTCTATGGTTGTAAAAGAAATAGCAAAGAGCACTTTTGTCCATATCTTACATCTTTACCACTGCTGAGAAGCCTAGATATGCACTATTCTAAGAATATTGTGGAGTAAGAAGTCAGAACTCCGTGATCTCATGTTCTCCTGAGGTTACTCTCCAGCCCCAGCTGACCTATGGTGGTGAAACTGCCTTTGGGGAGCCACTGAATCCTCCCCAAAGTGTTTTCAACACATACCCTATTTGAAAATGTAGCTTGCAACTTCTTGGACCTCTTAAAAATCCAGTGATATGCTTCACTGGCTGATGACCAAATCCTCCTAGATTGCTCCCTTGCAGTTGGGTCTTCAGCACTATCTGCCTTCATGTGTCGTTTCCCTCTCTGAGTGTACACATACTAGGAAGCCACAGGTGAGAACAGGACTTTGAGCCACTTCTGCTGGGTGAATTAGCCTGCTGTTTAACAGTTTCTGGGAGCATCCGGTGGGCCTGCTATCATTGGAGTTTGTGGAGCTAACACCCTCCGGTCAAGTCACAGATAGGAAATTGAGAACACAAGGTGAGAAAACAAATGCCATGTTCACATGATTATTCTTGTTTATTGAGGTCTGTTTTATTCTCAACGGGTGCTTTTTCCTCCAAGTAAACAGAGCAGGCGTAAATATCTATAATGAATAAATTTATTGTCTTACAAAAATCATTGTCTAGAAATGTGGGAATACAAGAAAAGATATTTGCAGTCAGGTGTCTGGTGGTCAACAGCCAGTACAATTCATACAGAGAGAAATCAGAGATTCCAAACCCATGTGACAAATTCTTCCTAACAGATGTTAAAGCTTTTAACCCAAAAGGTTTGCGTTTTCAAGCACATTGCAGAGGATCAGGGATTTATCATTAACACTGATTTGTTGTCACTGAATGTTTATGATACCACTTTGACTAAAGAGGTACATGATATGAAGCATAGTCAAAACTTAATATCGTTATAGAGGCAAATGATATATTTAACATTGTCTTAGTACTGTAGTGTCTAAGGCACTTTCTGTAATGTCAGTTTGCTCAACTATCAACCAAAAACAGAATGCTAAAGTGTTCACTGTAACACTGTCCAAAGAGAAGGGAAAAGGAAAAATGAAAAAAGGATTCACACCCACTGGCATGTCAACATTCAGGCAGATGGCATCTGTTCTTGAGGTCCTCTAAACCTCGCTGACAAACTTGGAACAAGCCTTGGATACAAAACCAACATTCCCATTTTGGGCTCAAAGCAGTGACTGAATTTGCAAGGTCAGCATGAGGGCCTGGCTGGCGAGGAAGGGCCTTCTGCTAGCTCTTATGGGGCCACACGGCTGCTTGCTTCTGGACTAGGAGGGCACTGGGCAAACCAGACACTTGAGACCACCTGGAGGTCACTATGATGGCTGCCACCTGTGGTCTCAGATGCATCATGGCCACCACCCTCTCTATGCACAAACCAGCCCTGGCTGGGGACAATTCACATGAGTAGATACAGGGACACCACCAACTCGAGGGGTGGAGCTACCTCTTGGGAGACAGGCGTGGTAACACTAAATGGATGTGGCTTCCCCAAGTACAACCCACCTCTCCTAATCTTTCCAAAGCCCCTTTCACAGTTTGCTCACTGAAATAGTGATCAGTATTTGAAGGATATGAGAAATGAGTGCAGTTTAGGTTCCACAATGTTCTAAGAGACTGGATGTGGCCGAGGAGTCAGGGCCACATGAACACAGAACTAAGTTACCTGTCCGTACGACAGAGCATGCAGAGCGACTGAGCAATGACCACGGGGCTGCCCCTATGACCCGGCGACTGGCAACGAAGGGCCTGGAGTTTGTTTTAAAAAGGGTTTTCCTTCTTAACATGTATTGTAAAATGATCTCTTGATGAGTATATGGAAAATAGATGCAATGATGAGACAATCTGTTTAATACGTGTGTCTTGTGTATGTATATATATAAAAAGGGGAGCAACTGTACCTAATCGAAGCAGGATACAGTCTGCATCGGCTGAAAGCCTGAAGACACGGTTGATCTTTCCAGAAGGAATCCTGACGCTTGCCGATTCCTAAATCTGTAGGAGGCACCAGGCAGGCTAGAACCAATATGTTCCTGTGTGTCCCACTGTATCACTGCCCCTGGTTTCCTGTGACTATTCAGATTGTGGTGGCTGTGTCTCGTTGACATCACTGGTCTTACTTTCTGTGTCATCATCTGACAGCTCCAGGGAAGCCCCCTCAATGTGCAGCTGGCGCCGGCTAGACCGGCTTGAAGAAAAGCTGATTGGGCCGCCCCGCCTACAAGAGCAAAACAGATGTGGGTGAGTAAAGGCTCAAGCAGTCACAGTGGTCAAGTTTAACCCCGAATGACACTTCTGACCCATCCTAGGGTCTTGCATTGCCAGGTGCAACTGGGAAGGCTTTGTGCTTTTCCTCCCCACCCAGTGTCATCCTGGCCAACATAACATGGAGCCAACACAACATGTTAAGCCTGATTCAGCTTAAGCTTGTCTGTGTTAGAAATGGTAGTAAAGATGGATTAAGACAAAGCTCTACCTGGTAACCACCCTTTTCCTAGAAAAGGGCCAGAAAGCACCAATTTTACTCAGACATTGCAGACCATATATGGTCTACACAGACTTTGTTTTCATGGTTTTGAAAAAAGCCCTTTAAAAATGTAAAAAGCCAGTTTGAGCTTGGTGGCACATGCCTGTAATCCCAGCACTTGGGAAGGCTGAGACAAGAGGATTGCCAGGAGTTTGAGGCCAGCCTGAGCTACACAGTGAGAACCTGTCTTTAAAAACAAAAAGCCATTCTTAGCCTGCTGCCTCTGCTTTAGCCTTACCATTTTACAGATTTGATTGAGCTGCTGACCACCTGGTTAGCATGTTTATCTGGTGGAACAGTTTTGCTTACTGCTTTTCTATGCTCTGCCCTCCCTGGTGGGAGCATATGAACAGTCTCAGGGGCTGACAGTGCCAATTCCTGTGAGAAGCTGGTGCCCTGCTTTTGAATGGAGTCTGGGACCTCTCCTCACACGAGGGTGGACAGACACTTGACCCCTACCTAGCTTTGCAGCTTCGTGTGCTCTACTGGTCTGCTCTACTGTGAATGGCAAAGAACACGAGTGGCCTGTCCCTCTTTTCTGTTCCCTATACATTCCAATCAAGGTCAGCAGCCTTGAGCCCAAGGTAGAACGGCCATCTCTAGGCAAGCTCTGCAGCCTACCCTGAGCCTTCTGCATGCTCGGTGTGTCCTCACCAGGCTCACCTCAGACGGTTCTTCAGCGTGCTGACCTCGCGGCTCAGGCCCTCGTTGGCCTCAGTAGCATCATCCAGTTCCCGCTGGAGCTTTCGCCGAGATGCATTTGCACGTGTGGCTTCCTCTTCGGCCTCCTCCAACTGACGTTTGAGCTGCTTCATTCTGGCGTTGGCCTTCTCTATCTTGGGGTCACAAGAACCAAGACCACAGAATGGTGAATCTAGTACCAGCCTCTGCACCTGAGTGTGTCAGCACAGTCTGCACGGCACCGTGTGAGCACACATTTATGTCTGGGGGCTGGTCTATGGCTTTTTAATTGGCCTACCAGTCTCAGCAAAGCCAATATCTACAGAAGAAACTAGGATAACAAAACTTAAAGCTAAAACCTTTTATTCATGAGTTTTCTCCAAAAAAATGACCTAGTTTTATCTTATATGAGAATCAATATGAATTATGAAAAAGAATTACTATTCCTGCAAATGCACAAGCATCAAAAATATGGATCATCACCAACTACAGGATATGTTTCACACCTCTTGTGAAGTGTTCAGATATCATACCTGGATTCACGTATGGAGCCAGCATGGGAGCCATGAGCTCCAACAGTTTCCCTGTCAGATCCTTCACTCCTGAACATATGGGTGCCAGCCAGTGCCCAGTGGATCCAGTTCATGCCTGTCCAGAACTGCTTTGGTGTTGCTAGGCCCCCAGGGTGGGAGCAGGGAAGAAAGCCTTAAGGGCCTGACTGGAGTAGGAGACCCCAAAGGTCATGAGTCCTCAGCTCTGTTTACCTTCCCACCCAGTGTGTGCAGCAGCAAGACACAGAGCAGAGGAGTGAGCTGGAGTGAGGGCACAGCACCCAGGCCACAGTGGGTGCAAACCCCAGGGTGCCCTGCTGCAGGCAATAAGGGCCATTCAGGTCCTACTTGCTGTATTATTTCCCTTCACTTTCTATTCACTGTCTCCTGCCAGTATTTCATGACTGCTTATGTCTAGGAACTAACTACTCTGGGTACCAGGGAGATAACCAAGCCTGGGAGAAATCTCTGCACTCATGAAATATCCATTCTAGTGAGAGAAATATGGTATCTTTAGAAATGCAGTCCAGGCCTCACACCTCAAAGCCCCCTGACCCTTGCCTCCCTTCTCCGTGATCGTGTCCTAAGTGCCCCTCACTTTACCACCTATCCCCAGCACCCACAAATGCCTAGTGGGAACATGAAATATCTATCACTTGTTAGTTGGGACAGTAGTTTTAAAAGTTAAAAGTAGTATTTTCTTAATTATGCCAGTTAATGCAGCCTGCTCATTGTTAATCAGGTCCCCTGCTAAAGCATTTCCAAGGTGGAGGACACATTGCTCTGCTTTTTTCACATACCTGCTCTTTATACTGATCAGCATGTCGACGCTCATCTTCAACCTGCATGAAGATTTCTTTCAGCTTCTTTTCAGTGCGACGGACCAGTTTGTTGGCAGCTGCTCGTTCCCTGTGAAAATAATAACAGTAGTTTGGAAATTCTTGAAATTACATTTTTTGAGTGGGGAAAATATTTTTTAGTCCTTTTTGTTTGGAAGAAGACACGTGTTGGAGTGTCTTCCTGGATCACTCTTCCCAGACAAATAAGATTAACATGGCTCTCAAACTTCTTCGTTTTGGTCAGAATAGGAATTGTCTTTAATGTATCTCTCCAGTGCTGACAAGTAGAAGCAGCATGTTATTCTTGCTTATTAAAGGTATTACTCATTTTGCTGTTAGCTATACTCACCTGTCAGCTATACTCAACCTAAACTTTTAAAAGACAAAAATTAGAGCTGGGCGTGGTGGCACATGACTGTAACCTCAGCACTTTGGAGGCTGAGGCAGGAGGATCATTGTGAATTTGAGGACAGCCCGGGATACGACGCTGTGAGTTTAAGGCCAGCCCGAGCTGCATAACAAGAACCCATCTCAAGAAAAAGACAAAAACCTTTGTGCACCAGCCTTCCTAACCTGGAAGACAAAAAAAAAAAAAAAAAAAAAAAAAAAAAAAAAAAAAAAAAAAAGCCCTACTTTATTAGGTGATGATTTTAATTTAGACTTTACTATTGTGATAATGCTTTCACAACTAAAATTGAAAAACAAGCCACAAACCCCACATGTTCACTGGTTAGAGGTAAACCACCCTGTTTTAACGTGGGTGGTTTTAAATGAAGACTTAACTTATTTTGAGGACTCCATGGAAAATAGAAATGTTCCTTAAATGCTATGCAAAAATGTACCACAGTGGAGTCAGATGAAAGGGCAAGTTATGTTAATTACAACTAAAAACAAAACCTGAATTGTTTTCTTTCAGTCCACAAGAGGGGAGTGGGAAGTACTGGGGTGCTGGGTTGAGCACATTTTGCGCTCTGAGCAGAGTGGGGCCAGACTGCTGGGCTCCAAGCTCCCCAGCAAGGGTGAACTAGAAGGTTGGCTCTAGCTCAGGTTGATTGTGATTCTAACAGCTCTGTAAATGCCTGCTAAAAGCTGTACCTTGCAGTTCTTCACAATTTCCACCATAGTTTAAAGTGGCAAAATGGAAACTGTTAAGCAATCCCTTTCTATGGGGGGAAAAGCTTTTATTTTTGTCATATTTTCTTCGCCATCAAACTACAGCATTTTGCAGGATGCTTCCTACTTGGGGAATTGATTCTAAGTTTACTGAGATGTAAACTTAAGGTACCTAGGAAATCATGGGGCTCAGTATGACTGGCCCTTAAGCTGAGTCGAGGGGGAGCTTCTAGGCAAAACTATCTTCTCAACTCCTCACAGAGTGTCTGTCCTTTCAACCTCTGAGCAGTGTCAGCACATCTTTGACTCAAAGCACCTTACAGCTACCATTCCGGTCATAATGTGCTCTTGTCATTTCCTGCTTTGCACTGGGGAGCTCTCTGAGGGCAAGGGCCATATCTACTGTCTGAGGCAGACTGGCCTGGAGGCTGCCAGTCTGTAGTAGATATGCAGTAAGTTTTGGTTGATAGCAGAAGACTCTCTTACTTGGCTTCCTGCTCAAGTTGCTCTTCTAGTTGCCCAATTTTGGCTTCCAGGGCTGAGATGGTGGCCTTGAACTTGGACTTGACAGCACCTTCCAGCTCCTGCAGCTTGGCTTTCAGTTCCTTGTTCTGTCGCTCCAGTTGCTGGCGTGCGTTGTCACTCTTCTGGGCGGCACTGCGCTCAGCTGCCAACTCTGTGTTCAGTGTATCCACCTGGAAGAGAGATGGGTTTGGTTACCTGTGCAAAGAGGAAGCACAGATTCCCCGGGGGACGGGCTGCCGCATGGCCACCTGTAGAGTGGTCTTCCGGAAGCGATCATTGAGCAGCTCCATGTTGCTCTGCTCTTCTTCCAGCTCCTCCTCCAGCTGTGCGATCCGGGCCTCCAGACGCCGCTTTTCATCTAGCAGTGCGGACCTGGCCAGGGCAAGGGGGAGGTGACAGCTCAACAGCAGCGCAACACACACCAAGAAACTCAGGGAGGGCTCCTTCACCAACTTGCTGCTAGCGACCTGATGGTTCTTCCCCTGCACCCGGCCTCAATCCACTGACAAGTCCCACTGCCCTAGTTTCTACTGCCCACATCTGCTTCCCTTTTCTGGTTCCATCATCTCTGGCCTGGATTGCTGTGGCAGCCTTCCAGTCATCTCCCTGCTGCCGCCTCTGCATCTGTCCATCTGTTCTCCACAAATCACAGCCAGGGCCAGCCAACTTTTAAAATATAAATTAAGATCCTTCCTGGAAGTTCTCCATTAAATGGAGAGATATAAATTCAATTGCAAAAAGCTAATGATTTTAATGAAAAAAGGAATCCAGAAAAAGATCTAAGGAAACTGCTTGCCAAACCTAATGAATTTGAAAGTAGGGACTTGGCAATGTCAGGTCAGTGCATTCTGTAGACACACAGCACAATGTGTGCAAGGCTGTTACAAGATGTGGTGACCAGTGGCTGGGGCTGTCCGGCCTCAGCACCTCATGCTCATCTTTTCAGACTCTGAGTTGATAAGCCCACTCTTGATTCCTAAACACCAGGTCACTGTCCAGCAGGAG